CATCTAACAAACAAACAAACAAACCATGAAGCCGATTTTCCAAAATGATGAACTATTTGTTTTAAAATGGTTGTATTTTCCGATGATTAACTATCTGGACATGGCACAGAATCCTAAATCAAAGCTCAATATGGCTGTTTCTGAATTTATTTTATCTGCTCAGTCATTACTGAATAACCAGAACCCTTGCTTTCTTGTGTTTATTTGAATTGGAAACTTGAATAAGCACATTACATGTGTTTAATGAAGTCATGCATGGGAGAGAGAGATAAAATTCAAGTGCCTGAATGGGAGAAAATAGATAATCTATGAGACAGATAAACAGAGAGAGAGAGGAAAGAATGTGAACGAGATCACTGCCAGGCTCTACTTTTTTAAGTGTTTACTGGAATGGTGACTACTGCTTTGCACATCACCTCACACTCTCATCTCTTTGACTGCCATTTTTAGGTGCCTTTACATATTTCATTAGATGCGAATCATTAGTCCAAAGAAATCAGGACACATGCGGCATAGTGTTTTACTGTCTGGTGTATGAGATAATGCTGACTCAGTCAACTGCCACTGAAATAGTGCAGCAAGAAGGAATGAAAGGTAACTCAACCCAAACGCAGACAACTAAAGGTGGTAGGTGCAAAGAAGGAGTTTTAAATAATACAAAAGTCCAAAAATGTACAGGATGCTGGTGTAAAAATTGAAGTACATGCAGGAACACAAAACCCAGAAAATCCAAACGATAGGCAAAACTAAAGAGCAATCACGGGAACATGAGGAAACATCAGGGAAACTCAACAGACAAACTGACAAAGACAACTGGGAGCACGGAGAGTGAATACACAAGGGAGGCTGGGATAATAGGACACAGGTGAAACACATTATGGTGGGATGGACAATCACAAAAGTGTGAAAAGAAAACAAAGCGAGGAAGTAAAACAACCATGAGGCCCACAAGGTAAGTGATTTCAAAGTAAAACAGGAAATAAACAAAAGTCCAAATATAAAGATAATAGAGGCAGATCACAACATTTTTTCCTTATTTTCCCCTATTTTCTGTAACTTTTTTTGCTATATTGTTCTGTCATTCTATTAGGTGCTCCTGTTATTACAGCACCAGTCATTCAGTCAACATTTTGAGAAATATGCCCGTTCCTTTTCCCATTCCCTCTCATGTCTGTACGCTAAATACGAAGCTACAGCCTAGAGCTTATTAGCTTAGCTTAGCCCAGAGACTGCAATCAGTGGAAAACAGCTAGCCTGGCTCTGTCCAATTATTTTTTTTTTAAAATCTCCTTACCAGCACTTCAAAATTTCACTTTGACGACATGTTGATTTGATCTGTATGAAAACTGAAAAGTAAAAACCTTAAGTTGTAGTTATATGTGGGAGGTATGCCCTGGAGCTACTACACAAAACCCAAAATTTGTCTTTTTGCTGCTGCTAACTGCTTGCTAAGATAAGCTAACCACCTCTAGGTTCATATTTCCCATACAGACATGGTCATTTAACTTTTGGCAAGAAAGCGAATACGCATATATACCAAATTGTCAACTTTTCCTTTGAGCACTAGACAGCAGCTGTACACACTGTAATTTCTGTGTCTAAATTAGTTTAATTTGCAGTTCCAATCCTGACAAAATATTTTCAATTGCTGTTGTGTAAAGGCAGTCCAAGTTTCTAGACATGACAGTCACTGATAATAATGACTGTACTTATGGAACTTTCATTCCCACAAAAAAGATTATAATTTTTGTGTGATTTTAGCGTAGCGACACTGTCTGCTTACATTAATGACTTGGATGAAGCTCAGATTGCATTTTATGATTAGTGAGTTAATGAGTAGAACCAATGAGAAAACCAATGAATTCCAATTGGTTCACATACTTCTCTTGCCACTGTGAATAAGTAGCTGCAGTCAAGATGGTTCGTAGCATGGTAAATAAATAAAACAAATGAGAAGCAAGAGTGTTGTTCATTCAGACACAGCCACTCTAGACTTATCATTTTCCTAAGGGATCTATTAGAATGCCATTAGCGCTTTCATTTCCTGCTGTCTGCCCATTACAGCAAAAGCCACGCCATTAAGCAGGTGGTTAATCTATACTTCAGATGATACAACAATCAATTATTTATTTTGCCACATTAAAGTTTGGCTCTACTCATGTTGGAATTTCAATAATTAGTGATTCTATTGAGCAGTGAGTACATTGTAAATGCTTTTCTTTTTTCTTTTAACGAAAAATACAGTTGTTAATGGTATGGCTCACTAGATTTTGGTGATTTACAGTAGTTTGCAACAGAGTTGAAGGAAAAGAACACAGATTAAGGTCCTTTGAAAGGGTATTCATTACTCAGGAAATTAGGAGTTAGATGTTACAGTGAACACAGATTTTGTGATAAGGTTCACAATATCTGATGAGCTTCTTCTTTGAGGTTGAGCTTTTGCACAGCTGCTACCTCCCACTATTATCAGTTACATGTAAACTATACGGTATTATTAAATGACTCAACCTGATTTCACTGTTTCCATCACCCACTGATCTTTTGTACCTTTAAGCCCTTGGAGTGGGTTTAAATGTGAGCTTGTGCACAGTGGAAACTGTCTGACTACACACAAAGAAGATAAAATGTTAATTCCAGTGATGGACCTCATGGTATCGTTGCTAGTGGCACTGATTCTGCAATATGCACTGACTGAAAGATTTGATTTTTAGTGTGTATTTTCATTATCATGACATGTCACTCAAGACTAAACTTATCTGTTACTTATACCCTTGCCAGTTTGACAATAATTAGAGTAATGGAGCATGACAGAGTAGAAGGAGGAAAACCACATTGTGAAATTACTGAATCACGTTTTGAGGCCTGGAGGATCTAATTGTTTTGATGTGGCTACATCTTGGCAGCTAGACTTATGATTTACCGTGAAGTAAATGCATTACAGTCTGTGGATGTATAAAACAAACAGTGCTTTCCCCTTCAGGAATATGGCTGTATATCCTGGCGGACAAATAGATAACAGTGCCCTTCCCAGGCAGGATCAGAGAATGGAAACTGCCATTGTTTTCTCTGGCCATTGATCATTCCCTCTTGTAAGTGTGATGTAAACAAATGGTCCGTGTGCCAAAGGCCATGAAAGTGCTGCCAACTCACCAGGAGTCCCACTAGCCTCCGACTTCTACAGGCTACGTGTGTGTGTGTGGTTGTAGTTGCTTGTGTATATATCTTATTCTCCCAGCTCCTGCTAATCCCCTGACCCCAGATGGAGAACAGTGGGTGAGCAGATTGTATTTCCTGCTTGATTCAATATTAATAGATTGGTATGCTACTCTGCCACAATCTTTGCAGGGCAAAAGCAGAATAAACCCCCCCACCCACACACATCCTCAGCCACTCTCTCTTACCTTGGCTCTCAGCCCAGCAACTGCTTATGTAGGATATGAGGCCTTATAAATGTCAGGGCATAAATAAGATGCACGTTCTGAGAGGAAAACTGAATTAACAGAGTAAACTGAGCAGGTGTGAAGGACAGGACTATGGATCTGCTGCTATATAACAATCTGATGTGAGCAGACACATGATTGGGTAAAAGCCCAACTGGGATGGTGGATGACATACAAAGTCTGCAGGGCCCATGTTTCTAAAGCATCTTAGTAGAGCAGAGTTTAAGTTCCTCACCTTTTCAAATCAGTACTCCTGTTTTTAGAAACTTGAGAAACAAAACGGTCAGTTCACATTTATGGGAACATCAGTGTGTAAATCTCTCACACTCTCTTCACATTCAGTTTACAAGATTGACAGCCAGTGTTTAGGACTGCTTTACACGGGTAGAGACAACTGAAGCTGAGTTTGACTGGACATGTGTGCACAGAAACATGAGTTGACAGAATGTTGCCTTATTCTCCCTTAAAATATTATCTGTGATGGCAGACTGTGGTTTAATTTGGTCCGGCAACAATCTTTATAAAATGTCAGGTTCCATTAATAACAGAAAATTAGAGAAAGAGAAAAAACATCTAAGTATTTATAATTTACCCAAAAGGAATATGGGTTAAAGTATCTGAAAATGTGGCTGATGACTGGTTTTCTAGTATAAATGGTGAGCCCTCAGTGATTATGGCTCCTCTAGATGTATGGTTCTTTTCCAGTATTATCTTGGATCAGTCATACCTAACACAACTTTTGGGTTTTTTTTTTGTCACACCTTTAAAAATCACATTTTTCAACCGAAATTCATTACATCTGCCACAAACACTCTCTTGGACTCAAAAGTGAAGTGATTTGAATTTGGTGGTCAAAGGTCATTGTGACCTCACCAAACGACTTTATAGGTGCTTATTGTTCATAGACAGGAACATTATCATACTGGCAGATACCAGAATGAATCATAAAGCACATGGTCTACCAGGAAGTAATCATTTACTTATGAATAATAAGAAATATTTCCCTAACTTTCAAACAGAGGCATACAAAAAAGGATTCAACCTAGACTAAGCTGTCTTACTTAAAATGCATCAGACTGCAACACCACTTTTACAGCACTAACAGCCCATTAGGTCTTTGGATTTCAGCAAATTCAACCATGACTGTGGGACGAAAACGTGCTTTCTCACCTGTACAGTCAATCACAAAATAGTGCTGGCCAAGCACATACCACTGTAGTGTGGGGCAGCCAGTTCAACAAGCGCCATACATTATTCCATCTCTGTTATTGCTGCTGAGCAAGGACTGTTACAACTCGGTGGCGGGGTGGGGGGGTTGATGTGTCTGTTGGCTATAAATACAAAAACAAATCCAGTTACAATGGGATGTTAACAGCTGACGAGCAGACAGCAGCACCACGTGAGGAACCAGATGAAAAGGTGCATTCATTTTAGCTCTGCTAAAACAGGAGGGGGCATCGTAATTCACAGAGATATCTCATGTGACTGTCCGTGGCAGACCTGGTTTCTGTAGACCAGCAAGCTGCCGCTGCAGATGATTGTGTTGATGGAGGGGGTGCCTATTCCTTCTGCCAGTCTTGATACGAACTGGAGCTGGTGAAACAGTAGGGGAAACACACAGTCAGGCTGGTGGTCTTGCTCTTACAGACCCAGGGACTTTCACGCATTTTATCAAGATCACTTGGAGAGAGAGGAGCACACGGTCGTTTTATCGACCAATCCATTATTTAAACTAAGGCTGGCATTGTTTCTGACCCAAAGACTCAGGAGAAAAGAACAGGTAATGTCTACAATTATCTCTATTAATTGGAAATGGCAAAACGTTACTACGTCGTGTTTACCTCGATAGAGATTTTGTGGTTCATTTTTTGGCGAACCGTTGGTCTCGGATTCTCCAACATCAGTCGGATTACCTCAGTATTGTTCTCATCAGACTTTGCTACCCTCGCTGTTGTTACATGCCATTATTTACCCTACATGTGTGGACAGCGCCGGCCACCTATTCTGCTTGCTGTGGTACTTAAGCCCATGTCTGGCCACATAATTTCCAAACCAGTGCTGTGTTGTTCCAGTGCTGCAGGCCTGCCGACGGGGATCAAGGAAAACTCTCCAGTATGCCAACGTAGCGTTGTTAGCATAGCGACTGGCTAGCATAAGCTAACATTAATGGTATATTCTCTGCGTTTTTCCTACAGTGCTTATTTAAACTGTTTCCAAGTGTCCGGTAACCGTTAGTCGTGTTCGTTGTATCGTTTTAAAACTTAGGGCGTAAACGGAGCCTTTAAAGCAAGACGAACCCCAGGTTGTCTTTTAAGTAGCCATTGTATTTAGACAAACTGTGACATAGCGTTGAATTACGTGACCATAAAGTTCCGTTATGTTTGTTTTGCTAACTAGCTGCTGAACTTCGTTTGCAGTAAAGGAGTCACACAGCTCGACAGGTAAAATTCACGGCGTAGGAATGAAAATAAACACCTAACCTTCGACATAGCCTGAAATACAAAGCTTTTGTAACGGTGTAATGTGAGGTGACGGTCACTGCTTCTGCTCAAAACCGTTAAATATGATGTAGCAAGCCTCGCCTTGGTACAACCAACGGTTAGGATGTAACATGTTTCTGTTGCAAAATTGTATTGTTTAATATTTTTTTCTGTCATTAATATAGCCTGATAAACTCCCTTTACTTATAAAATGTAATGTCACAAGTAATCCAGAAATGCTACGTATAGCGGGCAGTTAACTATGCTAATGGATGTTATGTTCTATATGTTATGTTACTAGACTCATAAAAGTTGCACTTGTATAGGCCACACTGTATTATACAGTACATGCTGTTGAATTTATTGTACAGGTGTCTGCTTTTCATGTGAGTTACTGTCTCCAAGTCTGGAGTGATCAATCTAACCACCTGGCTGTTTGTCAGGTAACTTTTATAGTACCAATTTGAAGTTTGTATTTAACCTATAGAACTACACATTGCGTTTAATGTTAGATATGTCATAGAGTATCAACAAGTTGCATTTTCAACGAAAACATTCTATGTAGCTAAGTCAATATGCATGTTTTTGCAGAGGTATTAGCCCTCAGCATGAAATAAAGATGCCCCATTTATTTTTAAATCACAAAGGGAGAAATTCTGCACACTGCACATCATGTTGTCTTCTAACTGGGTTTATTTTTAATGAAATCTGTGGATTATGCCAAGATTTTGGGGATGAAAAAACTACACTTGCGTTTGTCATTATCATGTCATGTTTTCTGTTGGAGTGAGGGTGTGTTTATCTGTGAACTACTGAAAAACAATTTGGACAATTGATATCTGTGTAGCAGTTATAACTACTCAGTGTTGTGTCCACTGATTAAATGGTCACAAATAGACTATTTGCTTCTCCTTTCTGCTTTAACAGGGTTACAAAAAAATAGGGGAAAATGTGTTCCTCTCTGCTCTTGCTGTATGTTATTACATCATTGGTGTTTTAATTTTGTATTTCAGCTACTGTAAGATCAATTTGTCTTTGGGGATGTGTAAATGTAGCGTCCCTCTCCCCTCTTGTCATTTCAGGTGATGACCTGGATGGTGCCATGTGAATGACTCAAGACCATGAAGCCCACACACAAGCTGCTGTTCGTCCTGTGCCCCATGCTGGTCCTGGGTTTTATTTATTACTCCTCTGGGAAGCTACATCTACACGTATGGGGCCAGAAGCCTCGTAAGTGACATCTCCAGTTTGACTGTAACATTTATTCATCACCTGATCATCCATTTGTTTTTATTGAGCAAGTCTGTTTGACATCTGTGTCTGTTTTGCTGATTGCCTCCCTGTGCTGACTGCCAGTTACTTGTGTGTCTATTTCAGTGTGTTTTTTTGTCTTCAATTTTATTTTATAGTCTCTCTTCTGAACCGTTAGGATATCAGCCTATGTGTTGATGTCGCAAGAACTGCCTGTGCTCTATATTAAATGTGTTTTTCTTCCACTTAACCAGACCACCGGATGTTGTGGGGAGAGTCTAATCAGATGTTCTCATACACCAGACATTTGTTCCTTGATCTCTGCCACTTCAAATTAGTGCATGCACTTTTGTAGATCTTGACACCCCTACCTAGGGAACTGGAACAAAACTTGTCTTAAACATCCTACTTATTCTCTTATCTGCTTTTGTAGATAGGAAATGGTATTTTGAGATTTCCATACTTAGACTTACACAAAACTGAAAAATTAAAATTCCTCTTTACATTTAAAAATACCTGTGGTATGTATGGGTGTAGTTTATAACTCAGTGTCCCTAGTAATGTTGAATATACTATATACTATTGAGTTTTTGAGTCAAATTTTTGAAATGTAGTGATGAGAGACCTGGATATTTTTACACTGTTTCTATTTGGCTCAATAGGAAATACTTCTTTCGGTAAAAAGTGTAGTCAGAATCAGCATACACATGCTGATGATGGTGGAGGGGGGCAATTATGACACTGTATGGGTTCCCTGAAATAGCTAATAAAATCCAGCAGAGGGGGCTAGAAGATTTCTCTTAAAAAAATTGAAACTTCTTTGCTTGTGCTTCCTACAGAGTGTATTTTCTGGGAAAACATTCTCAGGGAGCAACATTTGGCACAGAAAACACAAATGTCTCTGTTTTGAAACGGACTGAGAGCCTAGCTAGAAGGACAACTCACTGTCGAAAGTGTTTTTTTTTTTTCTTCTACTTATATACAGACTTAACCAGTTTGGATTAGTCTTATTCTGAAAGAGTAATGCACCCCCTCCTGGCAAGTCCACTCTTCCCAATTGCTGCCCGTGTGAAGCAAAAAATACATAAATGTGTAGCACTGATCTTAAGTAGAAGAATTATTTTTCTGGTTGGCAATACGTGGATTTAGGATGGCTTGTTGATGCCAGGACTGATGCTCTGGTGTAGGCCCACCAGTTAGCACCACCTTATCCTCAGTGTTAGTTATCAGCAGCTGACTCTACTTTAACTATTGTTAGCAGGAATATTTGTCGTAAGCTCCCTTCAGACTTTGACCTCACTCTTTAAATGTTCAAGTCATGGTGAAAAACATTATCTTTCAAAATAACAAAATTTGTGACTTGGCCTGTGAGAGAACTGAGAATGTTCTTCTTCCTTGGTGTCTCATCACTGTTGTTCAGCATTGCTCTCACTGTGAGGGGATAAAGGTCTGCAGATTTCCACTGTCTTATGTGCCATGTGTCAGTGGTGCAAGCATTGGTTTTCTGTCTGAAGAAGTATTCTGTTACATTTGAAAATGGAGCTCTACCATAACAGAGACCTGTGTAAAAGCCAAAATACATAAACAAATAGAATCTATCAATGTTATTGTCTGAAAGGGCCATCAAGCCAGCACAAATTCAGCTTTAAATGTATGTGATGTCTATATATGTTTACTTTCAGGTTCTCAATGCACTATAACTTAATTCCTAACCATGCCCACCATTTAGATTATTATGTTATTTATAACATTATATATCTTTTAACCCAACAATGCCTGTTCTTGGTCTTGTGGACATTGTCCTGTCCATTGTGCACAAATCTCAGTCAAGTTTAGCATTTAAAACTGTCTGTATAGCCGCACTTGACCTTGCTCTGCCCTTTACACTATGTGATGTACTGTTGCACTTTTTCCATTTTTTTTGTGGTCGCTGTGGCAAACTGCCTGATCAAAATTAGTTTAAGTGTTGAGTAAGTTTATATATACATTATAGATTGTAGACTTCCTACCATAACTGAACTAAACAGTTTTCTTAAAAATTGCTTAAAAAACTTTTTCTTTTTGTGTGTTCATCACTAACAGAGCAACTGATTGACAAATGACCTTGGCTGTGGTCCATAGTACAATGGTTTATGATGACAAGACTCCCTTATCTCTGAAGTCAGCATTAGCATTAGCATTCACAATTCTAAATCAGGGAAGTAAAATGCATTCAATCTTGTACTGTCACCTGCACTGGATTGAAATGATATGCAATCAGTTTATTTTAATAGCTGCATGATACCCTTTGATGTGAAGAGAGCCAAAAGAATGTGACTTATTTTCTCCTCAGCGCACGGTTCAGCAGCACAAAAAGGAGAGGAGCTTTGATTGCAGTGAGAAATATTGGCTTTCTGCAGTGCTGTGGAGCCAGATGTTTGGCTTAAAGAGGGTCAAAGGGGGAAGATGAGCATGTGGACGGTCTCTCCTGCCCTCCTCCCTGGTCAGCTAAGCTGTGCTGTCTCACTGAGAGGATCAAATCTGGATAATCTCTCTTCCTCGTTCTTGATTTATAGTGCTAGAGAACAAGTCACTGCTGCAAGGACAAACTGAGCATATAGAGGCTTATACCCTGCTCATTATATACATCAGTATCCCTGTAGTTATGTTGTACCTTTTTTTTTTTTTACTACCAAGCATTCATTGCTTGATAGTGCTAGTGTGTGCTTATTTACTGTATTGGGTTCTTTGTTTCTGTCTGCTTGCAACAGAAAACACAGGCTTGGGATTCACCGGGATATAAAATCCATGTGAAAAATCTGTTTACTTAGTGATGAGCCATATCAATACCGAATCAGAGCCTTTCTGATCTTGTGTTACTACCATTTTCAACAAGCCCTTGCCCTGACATGCTGGTTTCTTGTAGAAAGTGTGTGATTGGTGCTTATAAAAGTGGGCTGTGACAGGAGCCACCAGATGGTCACCACATCCAGAAGGTTGCGCCCTGTCCTACTCTTCTTACTAACCCCAATTTAATGATTAATCCGGACATGTTTTAGGAGTGCCTGCAGTTATTGATCAGATCAGTGCTGAACTCTGTTCCCTTTTTGTTGATTTTTTTTATTTTTTTATTATTATTATTTATTTTTTTTTTTTCTTGTGGTGGATTTTTGTCTTTTTGTAATCAATGGCCAGAGGCAGCATTTCTTGTGCCCATTTGTTTTACACTCTCTTTTCACTCTGCCTTGGTACCCCAGAGTGTCAATTTCAGAGCAGGTTCATGTGACCATTGTCATTCATTTGTTAGCTGGAGTGGTCGTTTGACAGAAACCCATGTCCACTTAAGTTGTACTCATTGTCGCTGCTCCAGTAGAGCTCTCAGTTAACATGGTTGAGAATTGCTATGGCTGACACACAAGGGGCCTGTAACCTGCCACTTGTTTCTCTAGCTGTTGTTTTTGGTCTCATTCAACTCTGAAACCACAATTGAAACCTGGTCACCCACCTTGAAATCAATTCACACAGTCTGCTGTATCACTGCGTTAAAGTGAGGAAATAGGCTTTTCATGCAGCTGTATAAGTAATGCAGTGATGTGTGCCTGCCGAATCAGAATGATCAGGAACTCTGGTTGTTAATGAAGCTTTCTTCTATCACCTCCAGCTCTCTCTGTAATTGCCCGTTGTGGATGCCAATATATTCCATTATTACAATACAGCCATTGTCATTGATCTGTACACATTTTGTGAACCAATGAGAATGCGGGGGGGGGGGCTGATTTCCCTCTTTAGCTGTTTTTTCGGCCTTCCCAACATCATATTCCTTTATAATTTGTTTGCTCTGGTGCTACTAACAGAATCACCACCTCTGGGTGTTAAATCACACTTCAAATTAACACCTGTAGGGTGAGAAAAGAATGTGTGCCACCATCCAAGCTGCTAATATTTCTTTTCTATACATAGTAGCCAACAAGACTCAACTTTTAAACCTTTCGATTTCACCCGTAAACAACTTTTGTAAAATAAAACATGGAAGTAGCTCATAAAAATGTTGTCGTTGATAACTCTGCGCGTTTGCTAAGAGTGATTCTCTGTGTCATTTTTCAAAAATAGATATTGATACAAATGGTTTTTATACTTTCTTTTAATTCTGTTCTTACACCTATAACTATGATCCTTCAAAATGGGATTCTCCTTCCTCCTGTCCTTTTCAGTGCTTCTTTAGTAGTGTGATCAGCAGCTGCTCAAAGAGCGTGCTCTAAATATTCATGACCACCGCTTGGTTTTCAACATGGGGGATTTTCTTTTCTTGTCTCGGAGGTGTTGTGTTACACCTTTACAGAATCAACAGAAGCAGTTTGAGGTTTACTAATTGGGGAAATATGATCTGCCAGTAGCCCTCACATGGAGAGACTGTGTTGTGCTTGCAGACTATTATAATAAAGACACTTTTGTACAACAATTTGCAGAATTTTGCTGTCTTTTTCTCAGAAGGAGAACCTTTTGTCCTTGCTCTGTTTTGAAGAGGGTTTTGTGGTTTTGTTGAGCTTATTCGTCAGCATTCTGGTGAAGTGAAACTGCAGCTGTCCTATGATTATATAGTTGACACATTTTTTTTTATTTAAAGGAAATTCTAATGATTCAAAAAGGGGAAGTAGAAAGGTGTACTACACAGTAGTTCCCAAAATCTGAGCATAATGAACACGGCTTTAAGCATGTTCAGATATGATATATTGGTATATTTGGTTTGTTTTTGTCTGTGTTTGCCGATTGTTTGTGTGCATCTGTACCTGTGCGCAGCCACTGTCTGTCTTTTGCTGAAGCTGCTGTTGAAAACATTTTTTTTAATATTCTGAGCACTTTGGACTTGTTTAACAGTTGTATGATTAATAGTTGCTTCCACAGTTCTACAGTGATGATGGTCTTACTTCAGTGTCTTAACCCCCTTTTGTTTACAGAGAGTGATGCAGAAGAGACAACTGTAGTCCTGACTAAAGGGGCTGAAGTGAAAAGAATTACAGGTAGAGGCAATGGGACTCTGCCTTTATACTGGGTGACTGTAGTGAAGCGGGTGATTTTAAACTGGGCTGTAGGGCTTTGTTTTTTTTATGGAATATAAATCTCTGCTAACTCAACAATGAAAGCTTTCCATTTTTACCACTTTCACCTAGCTATCGTAATTTTTACATTTGTTTTACTATCAAAAATGTTTGTGCTCATTCACTCATTGAGTCCTCATCAGTAACCCCATATACCACCATATTAATCGCAAAAACACAATGGGGGTGTTCTGCTCTTAATTTTCCACTTCATTGGGCTATTCATCTTTGAATAATGATTGAAACGCGGAATTATAATTCAACCTACTGGGATTAAGCCTACTAACCTCTCCTCCTCTGCTTCCTCTTCTCACTCTGTAAAGTCTGGCATTTGCAGTTGGCTTTATATTTAAGTCCAATGCTCCCATTATCAGACTGACCTCAAATGGTGCTAACTGACCCTTTTGTGTTTCAGAGGTGGAACCAGAAATCAGCGTGGGACGAATAGTAGGCTCAGGTACAACTGAAGCCCCACCAACCTAACCCGTCCGCATCTTTGGCCCTGTTGAGACCTGGCATTAACATGCGCCTCGAGTGATCCGATCACAAGTATATCAGTTCACACCTGGCATTAGAATGCGTCTCCACATGCGTCTCAAGTGACCACTTGTGATCAGTTCTCACTACCCGGCTTCATATGCAAATAAACACGTACATCATTTCTGTTTGCAAAGACCAAATACGTTATTTTTAACTGGTGGGAGGAATGTGCCTCCCATGCCTGGTCTGCTGGAAATTAGAGAAAGAAGAAGAAATCAATACAATACAGACTGGGTCTATTCCTGGGTGTGTTCCAGGCAAACCAAATTGGCCAAGATGTTTGACACACTCATCGTATATCTCTATGAGCTTTTCTAGAATTTAACAGTGTGGTTCAATGTGGCCCAAGACACCTTTTAATATACACACTGCTAAAAGAAGGTGCACATATGCGGCCCAGACCAACTCTGAATGTGGTCTGAGTGATCAGATCTCAACGTGTCCTTAGTGGGTCTTAGGTTCACACCTTTACTCACCCAAGATGTATGTCAATGCCAGATATGATCATGGCCTTTTTTGTCCCTCTGCCATTTAAAAGAACATTTTAGAACTTTTTAAAACCCTGCAATACTGAAGCCTCATTTGCAGTTGGAGGAAAAAGTAGCTTTATGAACCAGGTCTTTTACTAACAGGAAAAGCAAGCTTTTCAGGTTTTCAAAGTAAATTCAAGTAGTTATAGTTATAAAATTGAAAATTTGACAAATAGGGATGAGTTGAACATCTACTCAGTCATCATCCTCCTCATGAAGGTGCAGTGTGATACAACACTGCCCTCTGTTGTCTCAGGTTGATAACAAATGGTTATCAAGTGAAGCAGTCTGCAGGAGTTTTGGTGCATAACACTGAAGGGTTCCAGAAACCAACATTTGTCTTACTGCTTGGACCTTAGCCCCTTTAATTTCTCCCAAGCTGTTTCCTTTGATTCGGCCCTCTGGCTGCCTTATGCTTCAACAGAAACATAATGCACACACACACACACACGCTCATTTTGGCTGCTATCGCAAAATCCCCATCCTCCAGGGCAGTGCTTGGATCCCTCCTAACCAGCCGTCACGCATTCCCATCTTTCTCCTGCAGCTTCTCTGTGAAGACAAGATCCGCAACCACAGGAGTAATACTGCGCTTTTCTTACTTTCAACTAATGCTCATGTTAAACCTAGTCATGCTAATGCAATTACAGCAGTTTACAGACAGAACTTAATATAATATGTCAAGTGTTTTCATAGAGCCTGTATGCATTATTATAAAATATAATACTGCAGTAGATGCTTAAATGACATCATCAAATAAAGTTCTCATTTCACCATAAATATTTATCTCTTAATTTTCTGTGCTTCTCTGTCTTCTACCTCAATGCTTCACCAGGCACCTATTGGCTGCCCCTTTGGTTGTCCATAGGTGATCTCTTAACTTTTTTTCTAACTTTATTTTAAACTCAACAGATTGTTTTGGCTGGCTTCTCCCTAACCTCGCTTGTCTTGTTTGTCACAAGTTCTAATGCTTTTACTTTTACATTTGCCATTTTGGTTTCCCTGTGCAAGATACACCGATTTGTTAACTACAGCTAATGAGCTGATAGTTGAAATTACGTAGACTGGATGACCCGTGCTCATGATCCAGCTCTATATGGTTTTCACCCCAAAGATTTTCTTCTATCTACATCCTTTGTAGACCTATGTGGTAATGGTTTTTTATGTCTGTTTTCTTTTCCAGTGTATGATAAGCAGGGCTTTCTGCTGCAGTTGGACACAAAACTGTGAGTACATCTCTTTCTAGTAAATACTTCTGACATTTAATTTAGCACATTTTGCGATTTTCCATCATGTACTGCGTGGGATATTCCTAACTTGTTATAATTAACCAAGCTGAATTCCCAGTTAGACTTGAACTCCCATTAGTTTAGATATGTTTTACAGCTTATTTCACTGAATACTTTATAGCCATACAGATCCTGGTTGATCAATGGGAAAACATGAAATGTGAAAATGTAAACTTTCAGCCAATTAATCTCACTTGATTTATTTTTTCTTTTTTAAATAAACACACAGCATCTCTTTGGTGTTATAACCAAAACCTGGTGACAAATACACAAATTTGATACATGGTCTGAGTAATAAATTTAGAAATTAGTCTGAATTGAGATGTAGTTAGTGTTTCAGTGTTTGCTCCAGAGCGGCTGTGGTTTGTCAGGGTGAGAACATGCTACCTTGAGTCATTATGCAGCTGTCATTGTGTCAGCGTGTCTGTTGATATGTGTATAATTCGATGAATTGGTTTGACACTCTTGCTCTAAACTGCAATGATAAGACCCTTTCTTTGCCCCCCACCCTCTATTACCATGTAGGCCATAATCATATGCTGCCATCATCACCCTGGCTCTCACAGGGCATGTCTGTCCTCACTCTGCACACACTGTAAGCACTATGTCAGCACATACTTTAAGGTGGTTTTCACATGGGTTGAGTTTGTCTAATACAGCTCCTTACATTGTATCTACAGTGTCATTAATTACACCAGTAGAGCACATGCATATAATAGTGCAATTCATCTTAAGCCAGTAGTTAGTTTTGTGACAGGTTATTTATTCCCACTGGTCGTCTCCCTGATAGAAAAGTGCCCCATAGATTTCTGTCTCACCAAATCACTTATCAGTGTGAAACCAGTTACGGTTGAGCTGCAAGGGAACAACATTCTAGCAGGATTGAAATGTATTATATCAACACAAAAGAGCTTCAAATTGTGCACAAGCAGGCCCCAGTCGAGCCTCTTCTCCTGATTTTGGGCCTCACATAGTGCTAAGACACGGGCTTCTCTCCCATCTCCCTGTTTATTTGAACTAGATTCATGGCATTCATCAGGTTATTAATGATCGTGCTAGTAATCGGGAGGTTCTAGTTTTAGCACTGCCAGTGTGATTATTTGAACAAGGCCTCTCTGCTTTGTCTCGCCACACACACAGGTGATATTCTGAGCTGTTGCTGAGTTCTCCAACTTCCTAAGCAACCCGTTTCCCTATCTCTCAAGCAGATTGTTTGACAAGCTCAGCTTTGAGGCTTTGAAATGTGTCAGTATAATTGATATTCAGTTATCATGATGTGTCTGATTAATCTCTCCCTCTGTTCTGTTAATGTATAGTCCACTGGAGTTGGCATACAAGTATGGCAACCTCACCGAAGGAGTGTGCAAGCCAGGATACGCAGCAGCCAAGATGACAACCATCTATCCTAAGTGAGGAGGATTGCCTTTTCTTAAACACGTAACTTCAGATAAACAGGGTGGAAAAGCGTTGGTGTCCTCGAGTGTACTTTATCTAAACTTGGAAGCCTTTTTAAACCTTAAGAACTTCACATGCACAATCAGGAGCTTCAGAAACAAATCATTTTAATTGAATGTCAGCACAAGAAAAGTCAAAACTTTTACTCGAGCATACCAAGATGCATGATGTCACTCCTCAAACCAACTTGGCCTTAAGGGGTTTCAGTCAGAAACAGAGAAGCCGCTACATTCCTGTACAATCTCCCCCACTTTCAATCATGTGTCTATCATCTTCTCCACCACCACAAAAACTCAACTGTGTCCTTGTGATCCCCCCATCATACAAAAGAACCTTTGTCACCCGAATACAAGGTCTCCCATCTTTCCCCAACCATATCCTAGAGCCTTAGAGGCGTCCTCTATGAACGACACCAACCAACTTCCTGTCCTGACTCACCATGGGCTTCCTGGTACCAAGCCCACACTGTCCACACAATCCTCCATGGCCTTCTCTGATGGCTCTTTTGATTTTCCTCTGCGCCTCTATTTGCTGCCCATCTCATTTCAATCTATAGGACATTGTCTCATTAGCATTCTTGGAGCTAAGCTAATAGTGGGACAATTTTCCACATTGCTGAATAATAGCCAGTGGCACTTGAATAGAGTTCTTGACTTAGTTTTGGGGACAAATTTGCGATTCCATTTTCAAGCATAAGTATTGAATCTGATTTTCCCCGAAGATACAAAGTTTAGATGAGGAAAAAAAAGTTTAACAATAAATTCCAATATATTACTCTTAACTTTAATTTACATATGTGACGTACAGTATTTATTGGATGACTTGACTGACTGTTCATTCTTACACACAAACATCATCCGCAATGTTGGCTGTGAACTGCAGCGCTACTTCACAAGACAGACGAAGCAGTTTTGTGCAACTGCCCTCTGCCCATCTGAGTGGCTACGTGTTAACAATGTCCTCCCTCATAATGACTTCCTCTAATCAGCCGCACGTGTCGGATCAAAGTTCTGTGCAACACAGAGCCCCCACTTGGAGCCCTGTGATTACTACCACCTTCAACCCACTCACACACGTCAATGAGCAAAATTAATGCTGTGCTTTGTGTAAGTTTGTGCACATGTATGTGTTTGTATGCATGAGTGTGTGGTTGAATGTACACAACTGTGCTGTATGTAGTGTGTTTGTGTACTATGTGAAAGTGAGTCAAACAATTAACATCTTGTTTTTCTTTATCTCAGCCTGCTCCGTATGTTTATCAGGCGAAAACAAATCAATTTAAATGTTCTTGTTAGCATTTTGTCTAAATAGGAGTGGCCTACAGTTCAGCTGTTAGAGAAAACCTACTTAACCTCTAGCAGTGAGGTCCTGTGGCTTTCCCTCTAATCATCTCCTGCTTCCTCCATGTTTGTCTTCTCTAAAGCCCCTTGCCCTTGCAGAGTCCAATTCATTTTCCACACCTCCCCTCCCTCTGCTTTACCCAAAACTGTTTGCATTGGAGCCTTAAATCAAGTGTTGGCAGTGAACTTCAAGCAGCACGGTTATGAAAATATTGCCAATGAGAGATGGACCCAGCAAAGGAAGCAAGCACAATGCATCCCTGCCTGTTGGCTGTTTTGGGAGTCCTCACTTTTAATTTAACAACAAGCAGCCCCCTGTCTCTCTGCTTTGTCAGGATGTCAGTGACTGACTGTCGGTCAGGGTTCAGTGACTCGCAGTGATCCTGTGTTATTTATAGCCCTTTATGGCCTCAAAAGTCTTGGGTTTAATGAATCTCCATTTGTTTTGGCAGGACAGAAGTCTGTGAGTATGTGTGCCCCTGTCAGTTGATGTGAGAAGGCGAGAGAGCCATACATAACTGCCTCTCCTCTTGAGTCTCTGGTCTCATGCTTTAAAGCTGGAGGATAATGAGGGTATCAAAGACCGATTAGGGTGCTTAAGAGAGGTTGAAGCTATTCGGAAGGCCTCCCAATAATGTCAGCCATGTTTGGTCATTGTGCCTCAGAGCTCCACATATTTCTTGTGAACCCACAGCAGTGTTATGGTAACAAGCCATCCCAGACTCCTGCTGAGAAACGCGGGAGTGTGATCGTACTTGTGTGTCCTCTCTTGATTCCAAAGTTTAAAATGCCTTTTCTAGTTAGTTTGGTCTGTCAGCTGTTGGACCCATAATTTATGGATGGTGATGGAGAACAATCATTTTTTGTGAATGTGTGTGTATGTGTAGGGCAGCCAACCATCAGCCACTCGGCAAGATGCAGGAGTTATGTTGCTGGTGGTCTGGTTCCAGTTAATGAGACAGTACAACAATCCCTGTAGCTGTCTTCTGTCATAAACAAAATAATACACACCAGCTCTATACATCTCTCCACAGCGCCCAGCGTTGTCTTTTCTGTCCTGACTGATTATTTCAGTCCAACATTAAAGTTGTAGCAGTATGTCCAGGGTGCTCCGTGCATGTTAACGCTAGAAAAGAGACAACTCTCTCGTGTCCCCCCAGCTTGACAGCAGGTCATAAAAACACACATCCATCCTGAAGCCACACTCGCACAAGTGGCACGTAGCCTAGCACTCGGGTCGCAGGCGTGACTAAGAGGAAATGGCTTCTTTTGATTTTAGTGCTGCAATTAATCAAAGGGGGACCCACACACATACTTCTACAGGCACACAGGATAAGGAAGAGGCGATGCTGGAAGCAGCAGTTCATGGGGCATTAAAACATGGATCACAGGCGTATTTTTGAAAATCAGTTTGTTCTTTAATGGGGCACGATGACTGGCTTCTGGCTTGAGTAGTTGAAACTGTGTTCTCTGTCATGGGCAAACAAAGGCATTTTAAATTTTAGTCTGAAGTCTCTGAGAAAGTTCTTGTTAGAGAACAACTTCCTCCACTCTAATTCACTTTGTACAAACACTATTGCCCCAGATCTTTTGAGGAAAAGCGTTCTGGCACGAGTAAATTGTCTCGACAGATTTATCAAAACTCTGTGTCATCTGTGATTTAGACTTGGGTGGAGAGGTTATGTTGATGGGTTATGCACTGCAGCTGCCTTCTGTGTCTCTTTGTATTATCTTGTATTACCCACTTAGTTTTTTACCTTGCTAATGTCTGTGCTTGTTTTGGGAAGATTTGGCAGTGCACAGGAGGTGCGGATGTTATTAGATTAATTACAGTGGAACAAGTGAATTTGTTTATCACTTAGTGGCTTAAACTTTGCCCAGGACATTAACACTATGATCACAGGTGGAGCAGAGTCTATGAAGAGGAGAAAAGATGTGGCCGGGGAATGCACAAAAGAATAAATAATTCTTAATGACAGAAAAGGTTTACCAGGGAAAAGTCATAATTGCAACATGATGCATTTCGTTCTTTGTATCTGCTGATGAAAACTCTTTCTGTCTTTCACCTTCTTATTTTCATCCTTTCTTCCCTTTGCAGGTTCATGAAACCAGCGCCCATGTTTCTTGATCGGAACTTCAAACGTCTAGCAAAAGTCAGCAATTACTTGCCTCCATTTGGTTTTAAAACACAAGGTAAGAAATATTCAATACATCAGTTACCCTCCACTAATGATATTAACTGAACATTACTTAAATCATTTGTGCTCTCAAGGCTGGTGTCTATACAAACGTAAGATAATGACTTCTTTTTGATTTAGTATATGTAGGCATGTTTGTGTTAAAGGTGTATTCCAACAGTGAATATTGCATTCTTTAATTGGGGGGATTCAGAAGACACATTAAAAAAAAAAGTCAAATCAAAGCAGCAGAAGCTGAGATATCCTGACTTTTAGTCCTTAGTGTGGTTCAAGCTCCAACACTGCCGATTACTACATTTCCCCTAATGCAATTTCACTGCATCTTTTGTTAAACCTTTTGCCTCCTAAATACCTTCTTCTTTCCAACTCCGCATCTTTGGTTTTTTGTGCAGTTTTGTGGTAAATATTTGCCTCCAGCTTAAGTCAAGATAACCCTGATGATATCACCAGAGTTATTTTCTCACTCTTAGAAAAGCTCCCTCCAGAGCCACAGAGGATTTTTATACAACTGTTGTCACAGGTTGAGTAGTATTTTTCATGATTAGTAAACTGAACTTCATGTGTAAAATCCGTGTAGTGTTCCTTTAAAGCCAGTACTGAGCCTGTGTTTACGGTTTAGATGCTGTGTTGGAGCGTGACAGTTGCTGCATGGTACAGTACTTTGGGCCTGTGGTGCCTGGTATCTTAAAGTAATAAACCATCTGATTGTGTTGGTATCAAGCTCAGCTTCGCATGTTTTCAATATTGCTCTGATTTTTTTTTTTTACGCTTTTGTTTCACGTTGCCAGCATTACACTACAGTCAGTGGAGGTGATGAAAGGAAAAGTAAGGGCTGCCAACCATCTTCTCTTATCAGCAGGCATCAGTTGGCTTCTCATACTGTATCTACTTATCCGATCTAGGTCAATCAACAAACTGTCAACATCTCTTATGAGACAAGTTATTTTATAGAATCGCCATTTGGTTTTCCATTTTGAAAGATATCTGGGATGTGGGCAGTGGTTCAGATGTATGAAACCAATCTGCTTATTTTGTCCGAATACCTGCTTGTTTCAGCCCTTTTCATCATCAAGGTTTCACTCTGATGGTTCAGCAGAAGAGAATGCCAAAGTTCTGCCACTTTGCACTTTTCGTCATTTTTCATTGTTGCAAGGCTGGTGTTTTTGGCAGAATACATTTTTCCTCAGGCTTGTTACTGTGTCCTATCCTGAGTTAAGACAAGGTGAGAGGGCTAATCCATCACAGTGCACACTTAGTTACCATTAGTTTTTTCCAAACTTGTGTTATCATGAAAAAGTGATGCAAACGAAGTCGGTTTCTGAAAACTGTTACTATTGTATTATTCATGGACTGTCCAACATTTATGGCAGTTCCCAAACATCAGCTTTTTTAATGTAAGCAATAATCAAATCTCTATCTTGCATCTTCCATGCTTGGTCATTTTTTGACTTCTGAGTTTTGTTTGCAGAAATTTCAGCTCATAATGCTCTTTCACAACAGATTCCACAACAGAGGATTTTTCAGGTAGGACATTTGCTAGTGGCTGTGTCAAAATTGGCATTCCTGACATTCTGTATCAGTAACTGGCAAAATGCCATGAAAGTAACCTGCTGTATGGTAGGTTATGTTTTTTAAATCCCCGGCCAGTTTTCAGCCTTGAATTCTGCCTCAGCCAGTGTTATAACCCTCTGTCCAGGCTGTAACAAGACATTTGGCAGTCCATTCATGATACTCGTACTGTTCCGTGCCTGTAAGTTAGATCGTATGAATATTTATTTTTATCTAGAATCCATGCACTGGCGTCTGCATTTGTCATAATAACAAGCTTTTAAATGATGAGCCTTTGTTTGCTCGATGAGTTCTGTCTTAGGGCCAGCAAACTCTTATGTTTCCACACACTGTGCTTGTTCTGTGACCTTAACACACTTCAGCACTGCAGATATCAAACCAGTACATAATATCATGGGAAGTGAAGAGATAACATTAACCTGGATTCGGTGACATGCTCTGTCACATATTTTCCAGTACTTAGAAGCTGAAGGTACACTGAATGTTACCTTTGTGCTCCAGCAAGTTCTCCGCTGTCATACTAACACGCACACACGCACACACGCAGCCTCAATCACTATCAAAAGAGCACTCCCTGTGTGAGTGTCACACCTGGTTTCTGTTTTTTCCATGGACTGCGACGGCAGTGGGGTTTCCCTTTTAGTGGTACCCATGTGGAGAGATGATACGTGTGGATCTTGAATAGAACGCCACAAAGGATTCCAAATTGGGAACACGAAGAGGTGGTGGTGGGCGGGAGTTTTATTTTTACTTTTTCTCCTGCCAGGAGGTATCTTTTGGCACACATCAACCATAGCCTGAGAACAGTAAAGCTGTGTTGATTTGGTCTCAGAGCTGGTCAAAGCTGCTGTCAGGATGCCAGTCAGACACTGAACGGTCAACATGTGTTACTGGTTAAATTTTGCATTAATTGTGAAAAGCTGCAGATAGGATTTATTTCGAAAGAATAACATTTAATTTGGGGTGCAGTCTAAAGTGAACTTAGTGAAGCTGTTTGCATGATGTTGTTCGGTTAAAGAGCTATTTTTCAAAACTCACTCAGTTCTCTTTGGCACATTTTCACAAATATAGAAAATTTAGATAAAAAGACAAAACAATTCTGCTTAATAATGCTTAAATGTTCTAGTAGTGTTTAGTTGTATTTTCCTTTAGCATCCTCCTGTTCCATTTCAGTTAGGCTGACAGTTATGTGCGTCATCTTACCACCTACTGCAACTTATGTTGATAAACTGAACTGTTGATAGTGAGTGTGCCAGGGTGTGAAGAATAAGCTCTTCATGTGCTATATTCAGGAAACCTGAAGGGAGGAAAGACACAAATTGCTGAAGACACAAGTTTAAAACTGAGTTGTTTCAGCTGCTTTGTTTGATACGTCTCCATGCTGGTGTGTCTTCAGTTCCCCTAATGTCTGGAGAGACGGTTGTGTGTAATGCCAGGAAGCCATGCGCAATATTGAATTATCATCCAGTTTGGTGTACACAAGATTATAGAAGTTTATGTATACTTGCAAAAGCTGATGTTGACTGTTAAAATAACCAGAGTACCAGCACTGCATGATGTGTCCACTACTGCACAGGGCTTTGCAGCACTCATATTTAATAGATACAGATGGAATGACCACCTTTGTTGGCCAAAGACATAGAGATAATTGAAAGAGGCCTTCATACAGTATTTCCCACGAGAAGATGTTGATCAGTCAGTCAAACTTTACTTGTTTAGCACCTCTTACAGGTTAGTACGATTCAGGAGCTTTACAGATGACTGACAAGCTGATAATAAGACAGTTCAAATGCAAACAGTAAAACAATATGAGACTAATGCACATAAGAATGAAAATAGCGAGATTTAAAAAAGATAAAAAAAATTATGAGAAATAGATAAACTAAAGTGTAACAATGACAAATAAAATAATTGAGAAATGATGAAATTCTATTAAGTAATCGAATCCGCTCTTGATTTAGCTTAATACTGATGTTTCATTTGCTTGCACATGCACATAAACATAATTTTGATGTGCAAGTTTGAGGTGTAATTCCCTGCTTTATCTTTGTAACATGAGACAACAGCAGGTGAACAAGTTTATATTTATCTTAGAAATTACATTCCCACTTTTGCCTTTATTGACCAGGGCAAGAAAAATATTTTGGTAAAATATAACATCTATAGGTAATTTTATCTTTGCTTGTAGCGTCATAACCATTGCTGACCTATAATGAACATCAGGGTCTCACAAATCCTTGCCAGTTGAGACAGGTGTGTAAAACCTCCTTGTATTTTCTAGTTGTAACTATTTCAGCAAATCAATGACTTTGTCCTCACCTGCTAATTCAGGCGTTTGATTGTCGTCTGATAAGTGATATCACTGTGTCATTGGGTGTTTTCAGTCTCAGCATCCCCACCAAAAGAAGACGCACAGGCTGTCACACAACTTGACACATAGTTAAGATGAAACATGATTCAGCCAGAAAGTCATTGTGAACTGGTGCCAAAGATTTGACCACACCTCGGATTTACAGTCTACACGCAGCATAATTTTTTCTTTTTGACCAAGGCAGCCGATGTTGAGTATAAGGCCTACTTAAGTGAAGGCCTAACAAATACCACTCTCTAATCACATGATTCTTTATATTGTTTAGGCTACGCTCTTCCCAACAATGTCTCTGTGTTTATGTGTTATGCGACGCTTCCGCCGTTCCTCTATGTTGCCAGTAAAGATTTTTGTCATTGCAAGAGTTCCATGTTGGACTAATGTCTGAACCTACAGCCATTTGTCTCTGGCTCTACCACGAGACATACTTTGCTGAAATGTTTACCCCGCGTACTTATAACAATTAGCTTCCATGTCGTCCTCTGGAAGAGAGTCCTGCCCATTGTGATTTTTCACATTTCACTCGCTTGGATCCAGGTGTGGTCCACGGTCTTGTGTTTATGTTGCTCGGGGTGATGCTTGACGCCAGACATCGACACCACATCCAAACAATGGGCTGTTTCTCTGCTCGCCTCTCCTCAGCAGGTTAATCATTAGGATCGTTAGCCAGGGTGAATGGGGCTGTAATATGTCTTACAAACTGCTTTGAGGCCCCAGTCTTAACTTTCCTCTTCTCGCTCTTCCCTTAACTCTCACTTTTGCTATTTCTCTTGGCCCCCCTTTGCAGACAGAGGGCAATGAAAATTCCACTCATTTTTTAACAATGCCTTTTCATGTGGTATGCAAATAAAGGAAAGGTAGTCATAGTATCATAGTAGTATAATCCATGTTGTCCTTCTATGGTGCTTCCGCATTACTACAATTGTATTGGATTAAAGATAGCGACTGTAATGGAATCTGCACATTTGGGATGTTATGTTTTACAAGTATGAGAGGCCTAAGATGGTCAAGAGGAAAGAGAAATAATTGTAATATCTAACACTAGAAGCATGACTCTAGTAGAATGCCCTGTAGAACATGGCAGGAATGCGCGCTATGGCTAAACATCCCCGTTTCTCGCCCTGCGATCAGAGGGGTGCTGGCCACGCAGGGAGACAAGCTCAACATCGCCCACTTAACCAGGAGAATGTGCTTGTTTGAAAACAGCATTCCTCTCTGAGTGCTTTTATGGGAGAGTTTCTACATACACACGCATACCATGCTGAACCCTGTATGTCTGTTTCTCCCAGATTCACTCCTCTCCATTTTCTCCCATCACCATTATTCCTGTGGGTTGATTGGTCACTCCTTATCTGTGACTGAATAAACGGACAGAGGCGTTCTCTTCTCCAACTGTCTTAAGACCACCTAGATTGCTATATCTCTAGTGGTATGTTGGAGCTTTCGTCAGTTTATACATCTTCTAAAGGAACAGGGTCCCTCAGTCCTGGCTTTTCAAATATATAATTTTCACTTAAGAAAACATCTAATCTGTGATGTTACTCTGCTGTCCTGCTCCATAAGGGGAGTGAGCGCATAATATGACTAACCTTGAGGATAACAGTATATTTTTTGATCCTAGATTATGTGATACAGTACTTTGGATGGAGAGAATTTGACACTAGAGATATGAAGCCACTGTCCTTTCATTGCCAAGAAAGCATTTGTAAACCAGCGTATTTATACACAAACTGTTCCAGGGAATAAAATACACAATATGCTCAAGTACAAAGTGATTTTTTTAATATAATGTACTGCAGTGCAGTGTAGGTGATCACCTTAATTGTCCTCTTCATGGTGATTGTTTCTTCTTTTCCTCTGCAGAAAGAATCATAGACAGCATTTTAACTGCCACGAAAAATTATGGACTTGGAGAGGAGCTGGACAGGTAATTACTCACCCACGTCCACATGAAGTCCTGTTTTGCCTGTCCATCACTTCTTGATATTACTAACCTCTGTCCCTCCCGCCTTCCAGTCTCAGCTGTAAAAGATGCATCATCGTGGGCAACGGGGGCATCCTGTTCAACAAGTCTCTGGGGTCCCGCATAGATGAGTACGATATTGTAGTGAGGTGAGACGACTCCTTCAATTCAGTGCATAGTCTGTAGTTGGTTAAGTATAAATGACAACATCTCAAATACTTAACTTCCTGTGTCATGGACCTTATTGGCTCTTTGAAGAATGAATTCCTCCCACTAAGACAATTTTTGTGCTGGCAGGTTGAATTCGGCACCAGTAAGTGGTTATGACAAAGACGTAGGGACCAAAACCACCATGAGGATTACCTATCCAGAGGGGGCTATCCAGATACCTGAAAACTATGAAAAAGACTCACTTTTTGTTTTCTCTGCTTTCAAACCACTGGATTTCAAGTGGTTCCGGCAGATGGTCTTCAAGGAGAAACTGGTGAGCTTGTATTTAAATCATTGTTAAGTAATGAAAGTGAAAATCTTGAACTTATTTAACTCACACACAAACACACACATCCACAAGATAATGGAATGACGACTCACAGCAGAAAAATCTGAGACACATTGAGTGGGTGTTCAAATATAAAAGGGTCCAAAATGAGAGGAGTGTCTGCTGCACAACAAAACTCAGCTCTAGCACCACTTAGCAGTAGAATTTTTAATGCTCTGTGTGTTTAAATGTGTCTGAGTTATGTTTTTTTTTTTTTTATATAGCGCATAGCAGTCTAACCTCTGATCACATTCTGTACATTCCTTTCTGTGGAAATGTAAGCCATTCTAGTAAAGGGGTTTAGAGGACAACATTAATCTATAGTGTGGATGTTTTAGATGCTTTGAATGGTTTAAATGCTTAATGTGGAAAGGACAGTTGAGAAAAACCAATGACTATTACACATGTTCATTTTTCTTCTGTCTGTCTCTGGCAAGAGATGGATTTTTTTTTTTTTTTTTTTTTTCACGTTACATTGCCATTTTCTCCTGAATTACGAGGCTCTACTGTTCTCTCATGTTTGGATGTTGCCACACTAATAATTATGAATTAATTCACCACACAATAAATCTTTTGAGTGTCCTTTGAAACATTGTGATTGCCACGCTTAAGTGATGGGCTGTGAATTGGCCTCTTAATCACAAGGGTCAGACTGAATGACAGAACAGGCTCTCCCTTATCTCTTAATGCATTACAAAAAGCATTCATTTTTAATGGCCCCTGTGTCCCCTACGTTAAAACCTTTGTCACTGAAAAAAAGCTCTCATAAGCACTTTCATTCAGTTCTTCTTGAAGAGTCTCTAGTATCGCTGTGAGATTTTTCTGAGCCTATTCAACTCCAGGACAATGGGAGCACTTATTAAAAGCTCATCATAGAGTCAGTAAAATAAAGGTAGTGGTATTTAAAGAACCATACCATTATTTTTTACATGATTTAGACCATTTATTAACAATTATAATTACTTGACATCATTGTGGAACATTTTCCAAAGCATGCAGTATTAAAGATTTGTGAAAAAATACATTAATACATTAATAATATTAATAATATTAATAATTTAATCTCAGACAGTATTTTCAGGCACAGCGATAGGGTTTCTCCAATTTACTGTGAAATAACATTAAAATGTTGCAAATGTAATTATATGAAAAACTTAAGTTGTAGCAAGTGGGCTAAACCTTGCATAAGAAGCTGTACAATCCTTAAATGTATGTTCTACCCAGGCAGAAAAGCTAAACTCCCCTCATTATTTTGGTGGGGATGCTTCTGTCTAACCGGGCAATCCAGAATCAGGCATACCAACTTTATTTTCCACCACAGCTGTGTGACTTTCAGGGACCAGAGGACATTAGTCATGAGTGAGAAAATGGGGATAAAAAATAAGGAGAAAAGGACAATACATTTATAGTAGAGAATGGAAAGGGCATAGAATGGCAAGATGAAACTGATGGTGTGACGTTGGATTAAAGGATGAGAGAATAGAGGAAAGATAGATGGAAAGGATAAAGTTAAATAGAGTAAAAGGATAATAGCTGGGGAAAAGAAAATGAGCAGTGGAAGGTAACGGTAAAGTAAAATGGAGGAAAATAGTTTGCTTGGCTGGCTGATGGCCCCTTCAGCCTTTGATAGGGCCCAGATTTTTCTGGTGTGTCAGAGGAAGAGGACAGTGGAAATGGCTGCTTGGGATAATTGATCTGGCCCCTGGCATCTGACTCAGCCGTCTTTGATCTACTGAGGAAGGAAGAATGTTTCCCATGGGTTAAAAATCAGGGAACAAAAAGAGAAAATCATCAGTGTCCATTGGTCCGAGCCTTGATGATAATATGGAAGAAGAGAACTGACAGATGTGCATAGACCTGTGTTTGACCTCTGAATTGTCTTTAGTCTTAAGTCTGTTTTATACATCTGCAATAGTTGATTTTCTATCATGTAAATACTGTATATCACGCTATGTAAATGTTTCATGGGCAGTTTATTACTTTAATGGGAGACTGAGGTCACTGGAATTAGTTTTTTGGCATTGAAGGTAAGCTCAGTTCAGTGTCAGCAATATTATACATTAACACACATCAATGTAACAAAAAACAATAGTGTATGGACTTAGATTCCAAGAAGATCCTAAAGCAATTTAACCTTACTATTAAGAGTCTGGGAGTCCGACTGTTGTTAGATGTTATGAGAGAAAGTTGGTGTGTCCAGAAGGTTTTCGACCCACTGTATGTCTCCCTCTGTCATTTGACAGTATGTGTATATAAAGTCATTACATAAATGATAATTAGAATTTAGTCATTTAAATTGGTGTAGCATTTATGTGCTTATTTCACATCACATGAAAAGGATCACTTTATTCTCATTACAATGAGTGGTGTGTGGGTTTGAACATACAGTTGGCTACCTTGTGTTTTCAGAGCAACAATATCTATTTACTAGTGGATTTTAAGTCTTAGCAACGACATTAAAGGAACTGAAGACTTGTTAAAACGCTGTTATACTAGCTTCATTGCATCTGACTCACACCCACATTAGACTAATGCAGTGGAAACATAAACATGGAGTGGTGTTTGTGCCACCAGTGAACTTAGGGACACATTTCCAAAAACACTAACACATAAATGTTTTCTTTTAATTTTTACCAATTTTCCATTATTACCAGATAACCAGTATCTGAATCAATGAAATGCAACTATCAGAGACATTTGGTTCAGAGAGTGATACTGCACACTTAAGGATAATGCAGCAGGACATTCTCACCAAGTAGCAGCAAGCTTCCCTCTCTTTGCTCTGTCCATTTAGTCCATCCCAGAGCGAGACGTAATGTAACTATGGACAGCTGTCCTTTGGGAGCTTTTACATCTGTTGGCGGAGAAGGGGATTTCTTTGTGTAACCTGCATACTCACAGCTGGAAGGGATGCAAAACCTTTTCACTCCCCTTCTGCGGTTATGAAAGCAAGTGTCTTTCTTCGCCGTCTTCTTTTAAAGGTTAGTGGGCGGTACACACTTGTAGTGCAGCCGCGAGTGACTCATCCAGCTGGTGGTCAGCGTGCTTCACTTTCTTGCACTATTGTGGCTTTTCAAACGCCTACAGCGCAGTCTTGGATGGCTGAACAGAATACAAATTAGTGAGGCAATTTCACAATCTGTTATTTAGTGTTTTGTACACTTTCACAAACACAGACACACACATACACATAACCTCCCACTCACTCACACACGCACAGAGTCATAAACTTCAGGGCAACATTCAGACCAAGTCTAGATTTGAAAACTTGACCTTGTACCTGATCAGATCTTCAGTTTGCAGATACGGTTTTCTCTCTGATTGTGTCTCGTATTTGAGCTCAGTGAAGCCCTGTACTACATGTACAATTACAGAGCTGCAGCATCACAAGGTTTCCAACGTCCGTAATCCCTCATTACCGCAGGCATACGTGATTACCTCTCAACTTTGTCACTGCTTGAAAGTCTGACCCCACATATGCAGCAGCCTGGTTGATTGTCCGGTTACATGCTGTTTGCAACTGTGCTCAAACATGATATCCACGATTGTTGATATTTCCTTTTTTCCTATGTGTCTAGTTTTGATTTTTGCCCTCATGCACAGCGCGCACTCACGGTTCATGCACACACAGCCGCAGTTGTTTGTATATGCGGGGATCTTTTCAAACAGAGCCAGTGAAGGATATACAGCCGGTGGTAAACACGGGGTTCGAAGGTGGAGTGTCGGTGTTCTATCTCTCTTACTTGTTTACAGGAGCTTTCCCTGCCTCTCTTCAGGCCAGAGAGATAAATGATGGATGGAGACAATTTGAGGAAGAGAGTACTTCTCCTTTAATAGAAATACAGCCAGGGGTTCTTACTCAGAAGTATCAAAATATTGTAGTGAAGCCAATATTTTAAAAACATTGCACATCTTGTGTTCCAGAAATCGAGTGTGCGAGGAATTACTAAAATAGCTTGTTGCTTCATATCATGACCAAATTTCCAAATCAACTCCATCCGGCTGGAGTATCACTAGGAGGTATTTCCTATTGTTACAGTTTATGTAATGCCCAGGTTTTTCAGTTTATAGACATTCCATTTTAGCCAAAAAAGTTTATTGTAACTCGAACACACTGTGGGACAAAAATAACAGCTATATGGTTCTTTTTTAAGCCCAAACATCTGTGCAGAAGCCCAAAGTAGCATGCATACATGCATTCATAAACATTTACATACTTGTAAACATGGATTCTGAACATGAACCAAGTGACTAACATAGTGTCCGGATGTCACTGATTACCATGAGTGTTGTGTTTCAAAAATGAGTCACCTACCTAGCCTGCAATGATTAACACTCAAACCTGGACACTGGGTTTCTTTGTAGTATGTTGTTATCTGATGGATGTTGGGTAATTGAGTATTTATGCAAGTTTAAGGAGGACTTTGACATTTCAAAATGGTCAAAAGAAAGACTAATTTGTTTTCTAGTCAGATACGAACAGATCCTGCCACTAGCGATAACTGTGTGAGTCTCCCAAGATGTCACCTGCTAGTAGCCAGAGGCCACGCTGAACATTCAAGTCTTGAGAGTCGCGTTGTTGTCAAGTGTTGTGGAGACAAGGGTTTAAAACGGTGGGAAACAGAAACCACTGTGACCTCATTGATGGCAGAGGTTGTGGTACGCGTCAAGAAAAGCAAAGGCAAAAAAACAAATAAAATAACTAAAGCGGTCCAGAGTTTTCTCTCTGTGGATGTAAGAAACCGTAATCCCCTACTGTGCACCTCACCATTTACCACCTACTCTCTCCCTTTCAAACATTCTTTCTGAAACAGTTGCTCTTCAGTGGAGCACTTATGTGGTGAGACACTGCAACTTGTAAACTTAAAGGTCCGACATGTATACAGTGCTAATGACCTCCAGACAACCTTAATTGTGATTGTTAGCAGTTTGGTGGCTGCTGTTTTTGCTTCTAAATTGCTAAAGTCTACTTTCCGGAATCCGGTCAACCTCGTTTGAGTCGTCCTCACCATAAACATCAAACATAACCACATCCTCACACAGCAATTTACGGGACTGAAGAGTCCAGATAGAGCCATTTGTATGATAGCTGCCTATCAAGAAATGAAGGACGTGTCATTCCAGTTGTATTATGAGATTATTGTGGACAATACTCAACATGCATTGTATGTTGTGAGAGGATGGTCTGGCTTCGCTATGTTTGTGTCTGTTTACACTGAGGGGCTTTAAAGCCACCTGTAGTAACCAAGCAGATGTGAAACATTTTGTTCTTCCCTTTCCCCTCCTCTTATTACACTCCCATTCAGTGCTTCGCATTTCTCCACATTTCATTCAGTCCTTCGGGGGCTATAAACCGAGCTATCTGCTTCATTCAACACAGAGAAACCTGTTATTTTAAAGGTGAGTAAGGTTCATTGGTTTGTGCTTAAAGCCACACTGAAACCAAACCACACTGAAAACTATAAATGCAAGGCTCTAAACCAAGCTGTTTCTTATTTGGACATTTTTACATTTGTGCAGTGAAGTGCAACTGAGGTGTATTTTCTGTTTTATGCAAATGGAAAAGGATTCATGTCATCGTGTTTATAGCCAGTCAAATTTAAGTATTTTACTAGCCAATTGTTAGTTTGCTGATATTTTTATTGATTTTGTACATCATCTTTATTATGTCTGCATGTTTTGAAAACAGATGCATAAGTGTCTAACATAGTTATATTGACATATTTAGAATGTTGTACATTTTCCATTTCAGCACACCTTTTGTCATTGTTCTGAACAATATCTCTCAGTCTACATCACTTTTTCCATCTGTTTGATCCGTCACTTCTCTTGGCTTACAGTAGCTCCTCTCACCCTCTGACATTGTCTTCCTCTAATCCTGTGCTTTAAGCTCCTTTGGTGTTGATTTGTATAGCTGGGTTTTTTCCTACGGCTGTAAAAATTACAAGACAAATACATTTAGCCCTTACAAAGCTTCTGGTGTAGTCGGCAACACTGACATGAAGACAGTGTTGTTATGGTATTAGTCTGTTATTAGTGGGAAATATGTTAATGGTACTGCCTTAAGTTATACAGTTATAGAGTAATACATTTTGCACTTGCTTCAGTATCTCCTCTTTCAGACTCCCCAGTACTTAAGATCTGTTCACACATTACATTCAAGTACAAGTACAGGTATACAACCCAACTTCCCAGCTTGTTGTGGTGTGTTGGAAACCATGTTTACTTAAGTTAGTAATGTAGCAGATTGCTACTAACCCCTCAGATATCGAGTAAATGTACTATTAGTTGTACACATTTGGCTTCCATTCCACTTCCACTTCCATGCTCTCAGGCAGCCTGAACTTCAGCTTCTCTGAGGCTGACTTGTTCTATGAGCCTTGTGTTATGTGCTTTGATGATTCAGTGGTGTGGGACCTTTTCTTGGACAATACAGTCACCTCCACATAGTTTTGCTCATGTTGCCTACCTGGTTTGGTCAGGCTCTGTTAAATGTCTAAATGTGAAGCAAAGGACTGTGACTGTTCTTTTCTTGTGCCGTGTCATTCATCAGAACTATTTTTCCTCCTCATTGACTTATAATCTCAGAAGCACTGCCAAGAACTGTCAGTATCTTGACAATACCAGGCTCTTATTACTGGTGCCTGCAACAGACTTATCTCCAGTACAACTCTTAACCCCCAAAATCAAGATGCCCATTAAAAAAGTAACCTCTGATAGTCAATAAGTGCTTTTCCATCCACCTGTTTTATTTTTAAAGATTATCATTAGATGTTTTTGCTGTTATTTCACAGTTAATTGTGAAGATGCGGACAGGAAACATGGCGGACAGTTACCAAAGTACTCCCATCCACCCGTTTTTATGAGCATTCCCAATTAGTGTATAAAACGCTGGAAATTCAAGAAAGAAGTTAAAATATTGCAAAAAATGTTTTACACTTGATTGACGTATCAACTAAAACAAAGTGCGACAAAGTGCAACAGATAAATGCATCAGATATGTGTGAGGAATGATGAGGAAACTGTAACCTTCCTCAGATTAATACATAAAACACCATGTTTTCCACATTGTTTCCTGCCGTTTCGAGGTTTGACTGGCACTCAAATTATACTGTGCCCTCTTCTGCTGCAATGATTCAATGGCAAATTGATGCCACAAACTGTTTTTCTGGATGTGAATGAAAATGTGCATAAATTTTCACTTTCTTTTGCTAATTTTCTGGAAATTTGTGTGTTTTGCTAAAGGTGAACAGAAACTGTGCTAATGTCAACACAAGTGGAACTGTTACGCCCCACTTTACCTTCTTACGACTAAGTGATGTTGACCTCTCTGTCTCCTCTCCTTGCATTGCAATACAATTAATTCTCCAAGTTCAAGATTGTTTTAACAGGTGCTTTATTGGAGCACACAGCCTTGTGCACACACTTAAATCTAATAATCTAACCATAAAGCTGTCGCAGGAGAAGGGAAACAGCCATTTCCTCTCTGACCACAGCCCAGCGACAGCCTAACCAGCCAAGCTACACACTTGTGTTCACCTTTGAGCATGTGTGTGTCAGGGCTCGGTGAGTAAGTGGTGTAGGACCACTCTGCCGCTTCCTGTTCTGTCCGTGTTCAAATGCTACTGGCACAGTGCTGCTTCTCTTGACAAACCAATACACACTCACGCAGAGGTTAGCGGTCAGTCCACAGTGAAAGTCACATCCTGTTCCCTGGAGGTTTTTTGCGAGAGGTTTCAGTACTGCTGCTGCAGTGTTCACCACTGATAGTGTAGTGATTTTCAGCAGTAATTGAACAGTCTAAGTTTAATCTTTATTTACCCACATGAGGCTTGACTTCTTATTAAAACTCACCTTGTATCACAGTCATATTTTAATATTCACATCCAGTAACAACCCACAAATGCAGCCTTCATTGCTTTGACTGTTCAGCTCCTCTGGAGGTTGACAGCTAAATGTGCTGTCTAAGAAGGGTTGAGTGTTATCATTAACTTTCCCTGACCATCCTAACTGCTGGAGGTTTGAGTTTGAGACCTTTTTTTAATGTAGGCAACTTCTGACATTCCTAGACTCATAACAGCACCCGCCACCCCTTCCCTCCCACCAGACCTGAATCTGTACATACTAATTGCCCGTACATTTGTCAAAGCCACCTGTACTTGTCTGAATATCTTCAAAGAGATCCCCACCCCGTGACATTTATGTCTATGTACATGTCAGGTCATAGCTGTGTAAAGCAAGGGGTGTGTGTTGTGTGTCATTAGCTTCTCTCCTTCCTAGAAGAAAGAAAAAAATGCATCACTCTCTTTATTCAGCGTACACAGACGTGCACACATCCAAACAGCGCTGCTAAATAGATTCCTGGCAAACACAAGCTGTGTTGACAGGAGAGATGAGCTGCTGTTCCTGTTGCAGCTTGCCGAAGGCACAGAGCTGGGCCCATGTTCAAAAAGAGCCGCCACCGTTGAAGCCACAAAGCCAGCAGACTTGTTGCTACTGCCTCTGCCAACACACACAAACACCCACAAACACACACACACACACACACACACACACACACACACACACACAGACGCATGCATTGCTGTATCAAAGGCAGCCCTGGCGGGTGCTTGACTATTTGAACAGGTGATTCCCATTTACATTTGCTGACCCTATTGGCTTCATGCCTCTTAGGAAGTCACACTGTCAGGCAAGTAAATCACGCACTGCTAGTTCATTGCATTTTTATTGGGTTTATCATTTTAATGACCACTTGCATTATTGACCATTATTGATATTTTGACCCTGAAATATTGAAGGGTACTTTTTTGATTTTGCGTCTCAGTATCTTACTATTCAGTGGCTCTTCTGCTATGACTAAGTTGAGCAAGTGTGTTTCATTAGAGTTACATAATTTTGTTCAGGTGGTGCTGCAGGCCTGTCTGACAGGTTGCCCTGGCGACTGATGATGATTGCCCTGTGTAAAAAAAACCTGAGGTCTCGCAGAACACCCTCAGGTCAAGGTGTGATTTGAACCATTTCCTGTCAAATGCCATATTTAACCTCAGATGTTGGCTAGCAAAACCGTTTTGGGGTTTGTGATTTACCAACTACATGTCTGATAACAAATCAGTGTTGACTTTACCGCCATTCCTCTGCAAATATCATGTAATTCAGTAATATACTAATGCAAACAACTCCATCAAACCTAACCATTAATACCATGTGCAACTTTTGCTCTCTATAACAATCAAGGAGTAGTAAGTTTTGATAGGGAAGTTGGAGAGAAATCTTATCAGAACATATGAGGGAAAAAGTAGGAAAGATCAACTCAGCAATGGAAAGGAAAATCCTGTTCCTGAGTCAGTGTGTGTAAACATGAACTTCCTAAATGTCCATCACCAGAATCGTGGTCATAATTGTCATTTTTCTCCGTTTTCTGGTTTTAGAAGAAGGAAAAGAGCTTGTAAAGTAGTAACATTGTAATTTTTAATTTCCTTTAAATAAAAGTAAAATAGAATGAATTGAGAGAAATAATACAAAATGTGCGTGGAAGCAGTACCCTCTCAACAATCCAGGGTGGCTGCACCCCTCACCCACCACTCTCCTCCTACAAGGGGTCGTAATTACTGATGTCCTGCGAGCCCCTCACCCTGACTTCATCCATTAAAGGCCCAAAAGCCATTTCCCTAATCAGTGCTAGTAGGGGTCTGGCCTCTGGTTGGCTTCTGTGTTTTATGTCAGTGTTACAGAGGATAAGCTTGCTTTCATGTTGGTGGTAAGTCACGGTTGGCTGTCCACAATGGAGGCGTCATCATGTGAATGTGAGATCTGCTTTTTATGTGCATGACTGTGACCTTGCAGAGAAAAAATAACAGACCAGTATTTATAACTAATTTACAATTTTCTTCCCTTCTTTTCTGTCTGTTTCCTCAGAGGGGTACAGAGGGTTTTTGGAAGTCGGTGGCTCACTATGTGCCTCGGGAGCCGGCTGAGATGAGAATCCTGAATCCCTACTTCGTCCAGGAGGCTGCCTTCCAGTTCATCGGCCTGCCCTTCAACAATGGCCTCATGGGCAAAGGGGTAAGACTCATATACAGGAGCTTTGATTAGAGAACAGTTGTACCAAAGATTTGGGTTCCTTTTTGTTAAGATGGTAGGTTTCTTCGGAGATGTAAGAGAGGAAGCTTTCTGGGAGGTTCTTAACCTCAGGAAGACCGCCTACTGCCACCATTTTCACTATATAAAGAGAGAGCAAGGGAGAGAGGAAATACCAAAAATTTCTCATCGCTGACATTGCCAAGGTGCTGAATACCTGCTGCAATCCTGGTTCAGTTTAAATTCCACAGTATGTGTTAGATGTTGATGTATGTACTTTGCTCATGAATCATGTTTGTCTGGACCTGAGACTGCTGTATCGAGAGAGCAGAGAAATTATCACAGAAATAAAGATTTTAGTCAGTGGCCATCAAACGGGGTATGGAGCAGAAAAATATAAACTAAACACCAGAAAGCATTTGAACTTTAATGCTGGTGTGTATGTGTATATGGTTGCGTATACACATATTGTTTGTGTGATCTGCTGGTACCTGGAGAGGGAATATTGTTACATTGAGGAGTGTATCACTGTTGCTCTGCCCTCTGGGGCCACCACAGCACCCCTGCATGAACTCCCATCTGCAACATGTGTTCAACATGTGGGCATCTGGCCCCTGTGTGTGTGCGAGAGGGAGAGAGAGAGAGAGAGGGAGTGCATGGTCATTTGTGTCTATGTCTGGGTGTTTGCTGTGCTATCCCATACAATACAAGCTACAGAGTTGTATGAGTTGGCGCATTATTTCCCTAGAACACTCTACTGTCTGTCTTTTGACTATCAGAGTGTATGTTTATGTACGTGAAAATTAATGAGGAGGCCTATTTGTTGTACGAGTGTTTATGTTGAATGTGTGTGCGAGTGTGTGTGTAAATTAATCTATATTAGAAGAAGCAGTAGGGGGTTGGCCAGCTGCTAGTTCAGCTCCACCGACCCTGAGGGCTGCAAATCAGTGTAATGGTTTAAATGGGGCCTCCCTCCACTCTTTCTTCTGGACCTGCTTTTTTCCCCCAATACCCACACTCTTTTTTTCCACCTCTCTTGTTCTCCAACATCCACACACACACACACACACATACACACACAGACATACACACACACACAGCCCAGATACCCCCCAGATCTCCAGCAGCCCAGGGCAGTTAGGAAGCACACTGCAACCCTGTAGATCACTGTTTCATAGCAGGGGTCTGCAGGGGTCGTGTCTTAAAGGTAATAGTTAATCACCAAGTGTTCAAAGTCAGTTAGCAGCAGTGGGGCAGAACAAAGACAGAGGTATAAAGGAGGGAAGACAGATACATGAGAGGGAGTGGACATCTGTCTCTGAACTAGTGTTTCAGAATTGGCTGGAAATAATGTTAATAATAATAAAATAATACTGCACGTTTTTAGTCTATATTAATCCTTGTGTTACTCAAAGTACATTTTTATTGACAAATGCTCCTGGTATTTGTGTCTCTCTGCTTTCACTACAGAACATTCCAACTTTGGGAACAGTAGCTATTACGATGGCACTGCATAACTGTGATGAAGTGGCGGTTGCAGGTTTCGGCTATGACATGAACACTCCCCACGCCCCCATGCACTACTATGAGACTGTCAAGATGTCCGCCATTAAAGAGGTGAGTGTTGCTGAAAACAGCACTTATTTCACTACTTTTCAAATAATCAAGGCGCTCTTAAGTGACCAGATCTTTAAATGAAATCTGGTGCATCCCAATGAGAATGAGATATTATGGCTTCTCCCTACTCACTGTGGCCACTGAAGAATAAGTGAAGAAACAAATAACTGTAATGTTTGATGAGGAGGGACCACCAGTCCTGTGGAGGTTGAGGGGAAGTTGAAATGGCTTATGGCCAAAATACATTCACTACAAAGCATTCGCTATTTGGGGTGATGGTAATATTAGTCCATATATTAGTTGTGCACAAATTCAATTTCTCTCAGGTTTTGCATTTACATCCAAAGATATTTCAGTACTTGAAACATTCCTGTTCAGTAACCCTGGAGATTTTCTCTGTGCTACTTGCTTAACACACAATTTATATCTAAAGGAGGCACATAGTGTTGAGGACAAATACACATGTGAACTTCAGCTCTATCCGTCTGCCTTAAAAGTACTTAAGACATGTGGGTATGGGGGGGGGGGCTATCAAACAAATATTAAATTAAAACTAGAAAGAGTCAAACTGAAACAAATTAAAAATGTGTTTTTTACCCCATGTAATAAAAACTAAAACTTTTAACGCACCTTAAAACTCTTAATAAAACTAGACTGAATGTGATTATAAAAGAGGAAATTAATAAAAGAATAAAACATTAAAGCTGTAATGACCCTGGATTGAAGTGCCACTAGGCTTTCATCAGTCACTGTACCAACATGACAGACCTCTATCGTCTCCATCAGTCAAGTCTTCCTCTCTGTGTTTACACTGAAACCCAGTGGAATCAAAGATGTCACCCATGTGCTGACGGGTGTAAACCATGAGCTCAGTATGACGATAACCTTTGTCTAAACTCCCAGTGAACCACTGGCATTTATTATCATCATCTTCATCAACGTTGTCATCATCAGCCACACATGGCTAATTAATGGGAATACTTTTGGCTTTTTTGTTTGGAACACTTTAACCGCTGCCAGTCCCTGGGGTTGTTTGATTTTCTGGAACCACAAGGCCACTGAGCAGTGAAATCATCCACGTATTATTCCACTGCTTTGGAGAAACAGATTGTTTCCTATCTATCAAAATAAACAAAAATTGATTATAAAATGTCACATACGTCACTTTAGACTGTGTGGTGCTATTGAGGTCACTTTCTTTGCTATACAAGACGCTGCTCTTTTATCTGATCCTGAGTTCTGTTATCCCAGAGTTAATCAAGTTTAGAATTGATTTAGTTAAAGCTGCTGTGTTTGATATTTTTTATATGATCAAATGGCCTCTTGCGTGTGAAAGGGGTTGCTTGTGGTGACAGACAAACAAGGATTTATCACGTTACTGTGCAGTTTCCCGCAGCTCTTGACACCTTTTAATTCACAACCTGCAACTTTAATGTTTTGATTCACTCTCACCGCTCTGTCAGCTAAAATGATCTGAAAACCCACTGTTAACTACCTGTCCAGCTCCAAATAGCAGATGGACAATGTTGGTAACCAGCTGGTGAATATAGTTTAGCACTTACCAGATGAAGAGCTTTTTTAGCTAATACGTCCTTCTCTTCTACAAACAAGGACACACAGCTAGTGTTGCACATCGGCTTTTTGAACAAGCTACCAAACCAGCATCCACCAGGGGAAAAGTGCACTACTAACGACATCTTGCAGGCTAGCTAGCTACTTAGCTAGCCAGTTGTAGCATTTCAAAAAGCGCTTAAAAACGTAACTGCAAATGTGCTTAATGGTACTAGTCTTCATTCTTCAACACCACTGCTAACAACACTCCTCTGTCACTGACATGTAAGTTATTGACCAGCACTCAGTTGTTGACATTGTGTCAATCAAACACTTAACCTGGCCTGTCCATTCAGAGGCTTTGGAGATGTATGTGTCTTTTTGACTGCAAATGGATTTCAGTTGGACTTAAACATTGCAGCCCTGTTTATGCTAATTTCTAATAAGCTGTAGCTCATTGTTCCTTGTGGTCCCGGTGTGACCCATCACACAATGATAGGAGGTTTGACTTAGACTGGCCCAGAGACTGCAGAAAAGTCTTACACTGAGTCTGAGTTCTGTAGGGCCTGGTTGAGCTTCACACTTTATTTTCTTCCTCCTATTCCCTCCTGCATGTTTCCTCCTCCACCCTCTTCCTCGTTCAATTGCTCTCTGGCCGATTCTTCGTTTCTCCATCCCAAAGCACCACACAGGAACCAGCAGCTCTGGTTACATGTTGACCCATAGGACTGAATCCTCATAGCACAGCAGGGAGGAAAACTGACCCAGCGTGGCTGTACATATATAAATGCACACATGTACACCCACACGTATAGACACAGGGAATATGAAAATCCCAAACTAACACACAGGCTTGTGGGCTCACTGCATATAACAATGGTTTTGTTATAAGTGCTGTTGAATATGGCCTGTGCGGTTTTCTTCCTACTTCAGCTGTGATGTTGTATGACTCTGAATCTGTCTTTTCTCTGGATCTGTCGCAGTCATGGACACACAACATACCCAAGGAGAAGGAGTTCCTCCGCAAACTGGTGAAGGCCAATGTCATCACAGACCTGACCAATGGTATCTGAGTTTACAACCCACCCACAGTTTCCCTCTGCCTTTCCCAAAGGACTACAAAACAGGAAACTGGGAAATGGATCGACCTGGGGAGAAAGAATCTTTTGAATCCGGGTGGCCTGCACACTGCCGGGGTTTTTATATCAAAGGAGATTATTTAAAATAAAAAAAAAGATACAGGAGGGTTTCTGTGGAGAGATGCACACATGTGCCTTCTGAACCAAAGACTCCTGCTGATTGAAGCGGGGGTGGCGAGGGGCCCTGGGGAGGACTGGATCTGCCTGGTTCCTGTCTTATCATAAGGCAGTCGCAGAAAAGCTCCACCGGCTCCACGCTCAAACGTTTACCACTTCAAACACCCGAATATCACATGATTTAATAGTAAGAGCAGAGGTGGCATGTCGACATGCAGATTTCAGATGATGAAGGGACAGAAGAGAGAAGAGAGAGAAATGAAAAGAGATTGTGCGGGGATGGGTTGAGTATTAGCAGTGCCAAACGTACCTCGTACAGGGGAGAGGTCGCCCGCCTCTCCTTTTGCTGCCTGAATGTATTCACTTTCCTCAGTGTAAATATCAAAGATTTTTACTGTGCTTTTTAACAAGCTGCAGCAGCCCCCGCCCCGTCAACCCCACCCTGTCCCCCACCTGCCATTTGTCCATTCATTCATTCACTTTTTTTACTACTGCTACTCTGTCCAGGGTCCAAACTAAACACTTGCCAGATGACAGCAGATAAATCAGTGAGGTTCACCTGCCACACAGCCGGGTGTCACTTGAAGACACTACCATTCAAGCGTTTAATTAATATACAGACTTCAGTTTTTGAAGTTTTCTCTGTAAAGTCTCTGTAGAGGAATTGTGTTACTGACTCAAACACCAGGTGCTTTTTACACTGACTCTGCACAGTGTGTGTTTTTCTGAAGTCTGAATGGTTGGTCATCCCTGTGTTGCTGCTCACATCAAGTGACAGGACACAAAAAAACAAAACATTAAAGACTAATACAGATAAATTATTTCAAAGAGTCAATTGAGTTCAAGTTCAGTTCAATTAAAACTGTGTTTGGTGTTTTTAGTTACAATTTTATCTTTTAAAATTCTCTACACTACACTGCATTGAAAGCACACATTACCACCAAAGTTAATTATTTTTGGTCAATCTTTTGACAAGTTAACCAGCTCTGGCAGGTGAGCCCTGAAGAAAAATTTGGACACTGCATCTCTCTCCTTCTCCTCTCTGTCTGTTTGCAAATCCTTCGTCCTCTTGGTTCATTCATGCCCCATGGTACTGTCTTCATCACTTCAGCTGTGAGCCTTCAGGCTGCAGCAGAGACATACAGGTCAAGGAGAGCAGAGACTGTATGTTGGTTCCCTTTCCCAACCTCCTGTTGCTGCAGACTTTCTTACTCTATGGTAAATGTTGAAAGCTCGGATTGTAGAATATAAATATATATTTTTTTGTTTTTAGGTTAATTTTAATAATTTATTTTGTTACAAAGTCCCAATGTTTTGCTCACAGGCAGGCCTGCTTTCCATTGTTTTTGTTCAGAGTAGGGATGTCACGAGAACCGATACTTCGGTACCAAGTCGATGCCAAAATTCTGAAAATCTGACGGTACTACTTGTTTTCTACAGTACTGTATGAACCAAAGGTACTGTAAATGTCGTAGGTGCTGGAGATGACTGGCGAGAGCAGTACAAAAAACCTAAGTGTTCTAGTCTGACAACAAACTTCAGGAGAAGAAGGCAGGCTCTGTAAACTGTAACGACATGTGGAATGGCAGCAGGTATGAGTACAGCAACAGGTCCACCACCACTTGTGGGAAATTTACACCAGGGCCGGAGCACGGAGATATTTTGTGTTTGACGCGGATCAGCAGGGACAAGTTACAGACAACCTACAATTGCGACAGCTGGCATCTGTTGTAGCGACGCTCCACACACAATGTTCCCAAAGCTAACGTTAGCTTGTTTATGCTAAAGTAGCAACAGCTAATAACATGAGCTGGGTGCTCACACAATTATTAGGGTACAGTCATTATTGTTTAGTCTGTTTAAAATATAACACTGTTTTTTTTTTTTAAATGAATATTTTCACACCATGGGTCTGTTACTATGTTTGTTGATTTTAACTGCTGCTTGCACACTGACTATATAGAGATATTTGCATGTGCGTGAGCACACTGTGTGTGCAGCAGCTTCTGTTTGGTGGTTTGGTGGTTTTTGCTGTGGTATCAAATTTGGTACCAAGAATCCTGGAATTTCATTGGTATTGGTACCGGCTACCAAATGTCTGGTATCGTGACATCCCTAGTTCAGAGAAAACAAAAGTTTGAATTTGTGTTTTGATTTCACCACCATGTGCTTCCTCAGAGACTGCATCTTTTAATTTAGTGGCAGAAGCAGTGTTGTGACTGAGTCTGTTTAGAACTGGCTTAGTGTTAAATGTAAGCAGCCCTTTATTTTTGTCTGTTGTGCAGTTTACATAAACATCATTTCTTAATCTAGGAGGTGGTAATTGCCAAACTAACTTGTAAATTAACATCACATGTGCTGAAGATCTTGCCACATGCTTTTCAGTATTTATATACTGTGTTAACATACATTAGAAAGTGTTCAGTATTATACAAGCAAAGAGTTTGCTTCTCCTCCTCTTACTTCCCTCATTTCCTTATAATTTATAATTAATTAATTATCACATTAATGCGAAAATCAGCTTTATATGGTGAAGGTGCATTTTAACTTCTTTTTTTCTTTTTTCTTTATTTCTTTTCTTTTTTTTTAAAATTTAAACAACAATTCAAACGGGGTTTTCACCTATTTTCTGTTCCTACTTTTACTGTTACTCTCAATCAATAAGCTGCTGTTGTTACTGTCCATTACATTTCTCCATCATGTGGTACTCTCCATGATTAAGTTTCCAGAAACACTGCTGGGATCGTGCCACCGTGTTTTCTACCCAGTTCTTTCAGAGCAGTTCCATTAGGTTTGAAGGAATGGATCATCATTTTGGAAAACTAGGCCCTGTTTGGATATTGTTGTTGTTTTTTTCTTTCTTTTTTTTTTCTAAGCATAGTGTACAGGGAACAGTTGACCATTGCACTATCATGAGGCGCTGTCAGTGCCTTACACCTCATAACCTGGAAACTGTAGCGAGGAGTTTGACACAAGGAAGTAACAGCAGCTGATTCAGTATGTAGGGTCAGCTCCAGGTCAGGACAGGTCAATTCCTCACTCATGTCATCTGGGACCAGTTCATTTCATATCTGTACTGTATGTACATTATATACAGTGTAGGGAGATTTAAGCCCCACACTGGTGGCTCTGTATGTTTTAGCCCATAAACTACATACTGTATATATTCATATGTGTATTTTAAATGTTGGCTGCTAAACGGTAACAATTTTAATTCAAGATTTGACCAGATTCACTTTTCACTTCATGTGTTATTGCTTATTGTTTGTCTGCAGAATAGCTCATCACTTGGGAGCTGAGTAGAAAGGGGCACTCTGCTGATTTTACACAAGTTTACTACAGTTTAGTAATCATGAGCAGTTGTATTATATTGTTCTAGGGGAAGTTTTCCAAAGTTTGAAAGAGATAACCCTGATGATTTCATCAAGGGGAGGTGTTTTTAGAAATTAATCCATACTACGGACTAAAACTCAGCCTCTGCTGCGCTGAGTACGATCAATATTTTTTTTTATCTGTCTTGTCACCTCCCAGCTTTATGGAGGTGCAATGATAGATCACTGGAATACTGTTTCAACGCTTGAATGTTACAACATCCTTGAATGCACCAGCAAGGAGAGTTTGAAAGTGTTCCCTGCTGACTGCCACAGCACCATATCACAAACAAGTTAGACAAAACCAGTGACGGCTTGGAAGGCCGATAATAAATCTAAAATCTTTATAGGTTGTCGTAGAAATGGTTATTAATAATGTAAAATATGTGCAATGTGTGCTCAGCAGGCTAAAACATGCCAAGCCACCAGTATGGTCTTTAAGGCTTTGAGACTAAGCAGATCCTGATTACAAGAGGACCCATTTTTCTTTTTCATTTGTTTTTTTTTTTTTTCCCTTCAGTAGGTTCTGAATTTTTGCGAATGCTTGAGGAGTTCAAATGGATTGGACTCGAATTGCGTCTTCTAATAACCTTTTCATAACAAAGCAGAATGTATTAGCTCAACATATTTATAAAATTTTTGATTGTTTTTTTTTTTTTTTGGTTTTTCAACATCATCAGTGGGAAGTCAAAGTGATCAATAGTATTGTTTTTATATATAAATATATATATATATATATATATAAATGGCTTTCTGCATCTCAATAAATCAGTTTGTAATGGATATTTGCCTGTGCATGTTTGCATTGTTTGATTCTGTGGAGCAACTGGATATATTTTTTCCCAACAGCTCAACAGTGATTTTTCTTTTTGTATTTGTTTTGTTGTATAAACATATTTCTGTACACTGTGAATTTTCAGTATATATAGTAAATATTTTTGATGTATTTAGTCTACTTTCTGTTTTATCTCAACTTATGGGCTTTTCATCCTCACTTTTGTTAAAATTTGACAGTGGCAAGATGATGATGATCTTCAGATGATGTCAAAGCAGTGTGGCCGGGGGGCTCACGTTACGCAGCTCAGCTTACATCAGGTATTCTACAGTCTGTGTGTCACTTTCAGAGGTTACAAACTGCAGGAAGCTCACACTAAAGATGAAGGAGGGACTGAGTGGAGAAGCGTGGAGAAGGGGATTTCCTCTGCTGCTCTGTACTCTGTATCTCCTACCTGCAGAGCCAGAGGAAATCATTTTTCAATCCTCCATCCACCGGACTTCCTCCCTAATGTACTCTCCTTTTCTCTTGTGTGTTTATGTCTGTCCCACTCGGTGTCCCTCTCCGATTCTCACTTTTCTCCCCTCACCTTCTCCTCCTGCTTCCCTCATTCTTTCTGTTTTGCCTCCGTGTATTTCTTTCTCTTCACCTGCTCGAGTCTGAGGTGGATC